CTCCAGAACGCCTGCTCCCAGCCACGGCACTCGCACCTTTGTGGCAGCAGAAGTCTGTTCTGTAGCTCACTTTGGGCTGGTCCTTTGTATATGGGTTTACTCAAGGCTTGAAGGCTAATGGCCGATGCCCTGGTCTTGACAATAATCTAATGGAACAAACATTAACAAAGCCCCTGTACCGGAAGGCAGTACTTCCTCCTGACGTGCACAGACGGCGCCCTACCCGGGTAGCCCGTGGGAGCTCGGCTGAGCCAGCATAGGTGAACCTCACAGAGCGAGCACTGGACAGAGCTGAGGGACCCGGCGCTGTGAGCAGTGAGACGGGACCCCGGCGCCATGAGTAGTGAGACTCAAAGGGAGAGGACAGGATGAAGAGGTGGGGCCCCCAAGATCTGTGCATCACCTTGCAGGCAGGAGGGAGCCACTGGAGGACTCTGAGCAGCCAGGTGACATGATTAGCTCTGTGTTCTAGGAAAATTGGTTTGGCAATAGTGAGGAAACAAAGTCCAGGGGGTGCAGAAGATGCAGCAGGGAGGAGCGCAGACCCAGGTGGCCTGGAGTGGAGGCCCTGAGGACTTGGTCATGGCTGGGAGGAGCGCAGACCCAGGCGGCCTGGAGTGGACGCCCTGAGGACTTGGTCATGGCTGGACAAGCAGCAGCTGGGAAAGGGAAGAATCCAGCAACTCTTTATCCCCTAGGACTGCAAGCCTGGCAAGGCTGCCCCTGGGCCTATGGTGGATGCAGATAGGTGGACTGCAACCTATAGAGAGGCGGTCATTTCTACATTAGAGGGAGAGAAGGGAGAGAGAAGTGTCTTCTATTCTTTTGTTATAAAATAGGACAAACCACCCCCCCAACACACACACACGCACACACACACACACACAATATCACCATGCTTCCATTGCATTCTGAGAAAAAGGCTCCGAAGCTGCGATTCTCCCTGGGGTTATTAGCATAGACCTGTGTATGTCTGGTTTACGAGGGCCACCTGGGAACCCTAGGACTCCCATCCTCCCTGCCCAGGTCACCCCTGCCCAAGCCTCCTCCATTCACGTCCCCCCATGTCAACCCAGGTCATCCTGAGAGGGTCTGTGGGAGCAGGCATCAGGTCACAAAGGCAGGGATGCTCTCCCCGTCTGAGCAGCAAAGCCTGAGAAGTCCCCAGCACGAGGGAGCTGCTGCTCGGTGCTGCTCGGTGCTGCTCGGTGCTCCTCGGTGCTCCTCGGTGCTGCTCGGTGCTGCTCGGTGCTGCTCGGTGCTCCTCGGTGCTGCTCGGTGCT